GCTGCCACAGGACCCAGCACCACTCCCCAGTAGGCCTCTGGCCAATGGCATTCCTTACATATTCGTTGGTCAGAGCTTCAAGGGGAACACATGCTACATGGTATCTTGGGGGAGACTGTGTCCTTCTTCTTATCTGGGCGTTCACTGAGCTCCTACAGTGATTTCCTTAGCCACCTCTTATCCTCCCTGCCAACTCCCGGTCCATGGGATGATCCTCCAGGTGTGACCACCCATAGGCTCAAGCCTCTGGCTCTAGGAACATCTAACAAGCCAGTAAAGAACAGGAAAATCCCAGCCCTGCCCTCACCAGTTTTCCCAAGGTTTGCCAAGCCTTCACCATAACAAGATTCTAGACTAAGTGCTTTGGAGCATCACCTCGTGTAATTGCTTCATTCTACTACTGCTGGGGGACAGTGAAACATAGTCCCCACCCCCAGGCACCAGTAGCTCATGTCTATAATCCTAGCTACTCAGGAGGCTGGGTTCTGAGAATCAGGGTTTAAAAGCCAGCCTGCGCTGGAAAAGAAGCTGTGGCTCAAGTGATAAAGCACTAGCCCTGAGCAACAGAAAAGCTCAGGGACAGCACCCAGGCTCTGAATTTGAGCCCCAGGACATCCTCCCTCCCCCCCTCTTACACACACACACACACACACACACACAATCAAAGCCCAACACACAAAAAGTACTTGGAACATACTGGGCCTATTTTCAGCCCAAACCCACATATGGGGAAACTAAGGCTTACAGTGGTCAAGATCACTGGGCTAGTAACTGATGGAAGGTTTGAACCCAGAGATTCTGGCTCCAAAGCTGGGGCTTCTACTCACTTGCTCTGATCTTACCCTTTGGAATGGGGTCCTTACAGGGTTAGTATAGGGAAAGGGGTGCTGACCAGCTGTTTCAGGGACTAGAAAAGAAAAAATAGGGTCCTTATAGAACTGAGATGAGGACCAGCAAGATAGCTGTTCCAACATTCAGCACATATGCAGACGCTCTTGAGGACCAAGAAGGCAGGAGAAGGCCTAGGTCTTCTGAACTTAATGGGGAGTTTCAATAGAACTTGAGCAGCAGAAAGAGACCTGTCAGTTCAACCTGAGCTGGCCCTGTCTGGTTCAATCCCTTCTTCTTGAGCTTTTTTACCTTGTGCCTGGGATGCTACATGCCACTGGCAGTGAGACACAAAATCAAGGCCACACCTGTAGACGGCACATACAACATGCCAGATTTCAACTAAACATTTGACCTAAGTCACATCATTTATTCCTTGCAGCTCTGGGAAGCAGGAACTAATATAGGACACAGTTTACAGAAGAGGAAATTGAGGCACAGAGATCTTTAAGCAACTTCCCCACAGTCACACAGCCACTTGGTGATAGAGTTGGCATTAAACCCAGGCAGTGTGGCACAGGCTGCCAGACCCAGGATCAAAATACCCGCTGAATGTAACCATGGTCCCATGCTGTCTGTGCACAGTTGCTCATTTACCAGAGGGAATATGAAAGTTAGGCCTTGCGCTCTAGAACTAAGCTACCAGATTCACACCCAGGCTGGGGCTGAACCTCAGCTGCACAGCTTAGACAAATAGCTGACTTCTGTAAATGGGGAGAGAAAGCAAATGTAGCTTCTAGGGCCATTGTGAAGATTAAAAAGTAGTAAGATGTCTGGTGCTGGTGACTCACACTTATAGTCCTAGCTAGTCAGGAGGCTGAGATCTGAGGACCTTGGTTTCAAGTCAGCATGGGAAAGAAAGTCTGTGAGACTCTTATCTCCAATTAAGCACCCAAAAGCTAAAATGGAGCTGTGAAGCTCAATTGGTAGAACATCAGTCGAGCAAAAAAGCTCAGGGACAGTGCTCAGGCCCTGAGTTCAAGCCCCAAACTGGCACATGGGTGCACACACACACACACACACACACACACACACACACACACACAAAGGGCTTCAAATAGTACCTCACAGTGTAAGAGCTATAGAATGTTGCTATATTAATCCTCAAAGACAACTCTGTATATTATTTTATGGCTGAGACTCCAGGCTCAAAAGAAGACCAGTCACTTACCCAAGGATATAGAGCTGGATTCAAACACACAACTCCCTGGATTCAGTACCAGAATTCAAGGCACAGGCTAAACCTTGACCCTTCCTGTTTGAGTGGGGGACTGGTGACAGTTCCTGCTCAATATCTGCAAGGCTTCTGCTCCCCTTCACATCCCTTTCCCCAGCTGGGGCAGGGATGGAGTGAGCCAGTCTGAGAAGTCTGGACAGTTTTCCCAAAGCAACAGTTATAAACAAGACACTGTCACCCCACACCCTACAATCTTTCCCCTCCGCTGAACTGGCCGCGCAGGCCTTTGTCAGCTGCCTCACAAATACAAAAACACATAAATTACAAAGGACAGAGTTGCAAGGCCATAGAAAGAAAGGCAGATGCCCAGATCAGAGAAGAGGATGGCCCAGCTCCTGATCCTGCCAAGGTACAGGGAGGAGCTAGGGGACACAGTGCTGGACACCTCAGACACAGGGACTCCCTGGGGTCCAGTGATTGGGAAGGAAGGAAGTGGCAGCCTCCTGGGGTTGCTCCTGGGAGAGGAGGAGAGAGAGGCCAGAGCTGGGGGCTCAGCACAGCTGTGCTTGGGAGCTGGGTGGGGCCCACAAAACCTGGGGGCTCAGAGGATAGACTGAGTCTCCATATGATCCCAGCCCACATTGTGGGCAGTGAGCGGCAGGGTGGCACACACCCCTCCTAGAATGTTCTCACCTCCCGCTGACCTCCTAGGCACCACCCACATGTGCAATACTGCTAGAACATTCCCCACATGGCAATCTCCCCCTGCTCCTCACCCTTACCCCCAGCTAGGAGAGCAGCTGTAGAGAAGGGAGAGGGAGAGAGGCAAAGCCCCTTGGGAAGCTGTGGGAGCTAGTTGTCAAAAGTGTAGAGCCAAGAGCCCCATGTTCTACAGGGCCATAGATCCAGCTATCTAAGGCCAACACTCCCCCCCCCACACACACACACTGCCCACGTGGTTCTCATTTAGGCTCATTAAGCAGCAAAATAGCAACAAGCAAACAGCTCCAGAGACTGGCTAATTAGCAGCCAGCTTCCTCTGTGGACAAGCCCACCCCAAGTAGGAAATGCTGACACCCCTCCTCCCCCCACCCAGCAATGCCCGCAGGAGAGCTGCCAGCCTCTAGCCTGGTCAGCATAGGCCTGCATGAAAGAACAGAGAAAGAATGGGGGGCCAGGTGCAGCAGAGACTGTGACCAGCTCAAAGCTCACCCAGCCTTGAATGTCCAGTGTTGAAACTCCAGTTGGGTATAAAGAAATGCTAGAAGATCATAAGTGATTTAGAAAACATAGCCTCTGGGTCTGGTGAGCTCCATGTGGCCAAGTCAAAACCCCTCAGACAGCTGGAGAGAAGCCCATTCCCTGTAAAGCTGCCTGCTCCAGATTCAAATCATTCAGCAATACTCTCCACCACCCAACGTCTCCCCCCAATGGCTGAATTTCCCAAACCATAGCACACACACACACACCCAACTCCAAATCTCACATCTCCAAAGCCCTGCATCTCCAAGGCTGGTCAGACCCTTGCAAGTACTGGGAGCTTTCTAGAAATCATCCCAGACCTCCCTCATACCTGCCACATTAGCAACTGATGGCTTTGGAGCCATGAAAACAGCAGGTGTGAGTAGAATCCTCAAGGCAGACCCAGACTCCATTCAGCGCTCCTCAGCCATGCCTCTGATCATATATGGTGCTTTGAGAAAGATCTGTGCCTGGCCCAGATCCCAGAGCTTCTGAATAGCTTAAGACCACTGGACTATCCACATCTCTGGTTTCTCTGCCTGGAGATGTGCCCAGAGAGGTTCAGAGCTGGTTTGGTCTGCTTCTCCTCTAATGAACTGTGTGACCTTGAACAAGTCACCACCTCTCTAAGGATCATTTTCTTCTCTCTCCTCTTCCTCCTCTTCCTTCTCCTCCTCCTCCTTCTCCTCTTCTTTCTTCTTCTTCTGTGCTAGTCCTGGGGCTTAAATTCAGGACCTGGGCACTGTCCCCCTGAGCTTTTTCCACTCAAGGCCAGAACTCAAAGCTTGAGCCACAGCTCTACTTCCAGCCTTTTTGGTGGTTAACTAGAGATAAGAGTCTCATAGACTTTCCTGCCCAGACTGCCTTCAAGCAGCAATCCTTAGATCTCAGCCTCCTGAGTAGCTAGGGTTCTAGGTGTGAGCCACTGGTACCTGGCAACATTTCACAGATAGAGGTTTACCTGGATCTGTGCATGTGCTAGCCCAGTCCCACAATGGAGAATCGGAATGACGGCAGAACAGTCATCCTCAGATCACAAGGTAGAGTCAGGTTATCTGGTTTCAAATTTTAGTTCTGCCACGACCTAGACATGTGTACCTTAGTTGAGGTTCTGTTATCACTACCTCTGAAACCAGTAATGAAGCCTCATGCACAAAGATCATGGCTCAGTGGAAGCCTGGGTGTGTGTGGCGGGGGCGGGGGTGGGGGGTCAAGACTCTTCCTTGGTATTCACAGATCTAAGAAGATTCTTTTCTTTCCTCTCATTTGAACCAGCCTGCCAGGCCTTGAAGCAGTCCAACAGAAGGCTGTCCAGACATGGGATAAGAGCTTCATCTGAGTATGGACCTCTGGGCCTAAGGTCAAGGCAGCGATGGATTCCCTCAGCACATAGCATGAATAATGCCCTGAAGATGTGGGATGTGGGCTGGAGAGGCTTAGGGGCCAGGTGTGCTCTGTTGACTACAAGCCGGTAGGGGTGCCTAAGGGAGCCTGCGAGCAGGGAAAGTAGGCACTGACACAGTGGGACAGCAGGCAGGAACACAGGCAATTTTCCAGGTGGAGACATTATAGTCTCCCTTCCATTGTACTTCACTCCCTGTGACCAGGCAGCAGGCGGGGGGAGAGCTTGCTGCTCCAGGTCCTACAGCCTTTGGCCTGGGGTCGGGGGTGGGGGAAGATAGGAGGCACTTACGTTTGATACAGTGATTGGTGCTATTTGCAGTTGTCCATCCCGGGCAGCACTGTCCCCCACAGACATTTCTCCTGCAAGATCAGCAAAACATGAAGTATCAGCATAAGAATGCTCAGAGCTGGGGGAAGGGCCTAGTCTGGGGGCCTCTTATGGTTCTGATGATTGAACAAACAACAGATAGGAAGGTTTCACATCGGAGGCACAGGCCAGTGACCATGACGATGACAAGATCTGAGAGGTCTGCTCACTTGCCAAAGCCACACAACAGCTAAGTCCCAGAACCCACCAAGGCCAGGTTGGTGGGCTAGGGAGTGTAACTCAGTGGTAGAATCCTTGCTTGCATGTTTGAGGCCCTTATTCACCCCCCCACCCACACCCCCCAGCACAGTGGTGGTAGACACAACCGTGAATTGGCTCAACTTTAAGCCAGGCTCCAGCTCTATACGGCCCCTTCTCAAACATACACACACTATGCAGATGCTGGTAATGCAAGAGAAGCTGTATACATGTGGTCTCTAGAATGCACATGTGTGCCACCTGCCAACAAAAGGGTGCCAGAAGAAGCCACAGTATTCAGCAGGCCCATTTGTCATCAGACTGAACGCTCAGTGGGCAACTAAAACAAAAGGATGTCTCTGCCTAAGAGGGTAGCAAGCTGGTAAGAAGATGGGGCTGGAGACATGACCAACTGTCTCTGCCTCTTGACCACACTTTTCATTTGGGGAAGCTGAAGTGCACCTCCCATGTAGTTTAGGGGTGGGTCAGTCATTTCTCCAACTACTGTCTTGGCGCTGGCTCTGAGGGCACCTTCATGAGTCCCCGATCTTTGGTCTTGAATGCAGCACTCAGCCCAGTTGTTCAAATTTTTCCCTCAGATGAATGGCAAACACTAACAACAGCAGCAGGTTCCCCAGCTCTGGCTTTCTATCAGCAGACCCAAATTCCCAGACCAGGGTAATCTCCAGTAGAATCCCTTATTCTGGGATGAGGCTCTTCAGCCCAGGCCAGGCTCACAGAGAGCGGAGATGAGTGTGAGAGAGTGATGTGACGGCCAAAGGCCAGAGCCGTGGCCATTCCTGGGATCTCTAGAGCCAGTATGGCAAGCATCTGCTCCCATCTAAGAGACCGTTTGACATCTGAGTGGACCCCAAAGCGTGTGTGGTTTGGGAGGCCTTACAAAGAATTCAAAATAAGTTCCTGTCATTTGCAAAGGGCTGAGTTTCATTCCTGGCCCTTTGGCCTAAAGTTGTGGGGAGCTGCCCCTGGGTGAACTGCTAGTTATAAGCGCTGTCTCTTGAGGCACCATCTTCAGCAGCTTCCTGGCTCCATGAAGTTTTCCTCCTCCTCAGAGCCCAAATCACCAGGCCCTGGGAAAGAGGCTGCCCTTCAGACCCAGGCTTTCTGGGCACGCTGGTGCAATAGGAAAACTGTCCGTCCATTTGGAAGTTGCTAGCCCTTGTGGCGATGATAAGGGAGCTAGGAAGGTTTTGAGACAGCGTGCCCTGGGAGTTCCCTAAGAACCAGGGCCTGTGGGAACCCAGATCACGGGATTGAGAGCCTGCTTGGCTGGCAGGTCATGGCATCAGGGTCATAGTGAATCAAAGACTGTCAGCAAGGGGCCAGGTTGGGGCTAGGAAGCCACTCAATAAAGACATAGATACCCAATATCCAGACACTTAGTAAGAGCCTCCTAGGCTATCAGGAAAAGGAGGCCAGTAGGGATCTGGCCAGGCAGTGGGTGTTCTACTGAATTCAAAGTAAGCTGACGAGCCTGATAAGCTGGGGCTCAGATTCCCTCCAGAAATCAGCTCTCCTACCACTCAGAGATCACATGAGCACAATCTTCCAGCCCTATGTACTCAGCAAACACTAGCTTAAGGATCACTTGTTGAGGCCATATCTACCTGACAGCCTGGCACAGCTGCTTTTCTCCCTGGGACAAGGGTCAAAAATCTCCCACAGCTCTGCGCTGACTCCTATGAAACCAGTCTGGTCCCCACCTGCCTGTGTAGTTTAATTTCCCCATCACCTTTCCCTCACCTCTGTGACCATCTACAAACAAAGCTGATCTCCTTCAAGGATACAAACTGGTCGGCATCGAGGTCTCATATAGATGTCTTTTCTGAAGCTACTTACTGTCTGCCTGGAAAACCTTTCCCTTCTAATTCAGTGAAATCCTTTGCATACCCCCAGGCTTCCAAATCAGACATTACCTCCTTCTCTTAAAGTACACCCTCTTCTTCATAGGAAGAACAAGACAGGGGCTTGAGCTCCTAAGATAACCAATGGCGTCAGACTAGAACTGAACATCATTTTGTTTTCTTTCCAATTTTCCTACAATTACCTTCTCTTTTAAACAAGCAATACTACTTTCAACCGATGGTAGTGATGTTAAGTTTCCTTTTTAACGATGAATTCAATTTATGTAGAACAATGAGTCAAGACCTGTTTGTAATGGCAAAAAAATGTAATTCATCTGAATGTCCCAAAACAGGAGGATGAATAAACAAACTGTGGGTATATTTAGACAAAGGAACCTCAGTTAAAATGAATAAACTTGGGCTAGTTCTATTTTGTGGTTAAATCTCAAAAATCTAATGGTGAAGGGAAAAATACCAAATTGTGGGAGGAAAATACAATATGGTATCACTTATCTAAGCTTAAAACATGCAAAGTAACATTGCGTATTTTGCGGATGCATGCATCTGTAGAAATAGTATAAAAGCATGCATTGGAATTAATAAGAGTGGCAGTTCACTCTAGGAAGAGAGGATAGCTAATTTATTGAAGAAATTTCAACCAAAAACATCGGAAACACAGTATATCAAACTATTAAGTTTGCTGGATTGTGCATTCCATTGCTTCCAATATCTTTTTGTATGCTTGTAAAACTTTGTAATGTGCTAAAATAGATAAGATGTGAAAATTCAGTTATCTTAGCAATATACTAATTTAAAGAAAAATAACAGAATACAAGGGAAATATTATGACGGTGGTATGTGTGAAGCTGGTTCAAGAAATACTGAATACTGAGAAGCAGTGGTTTAATAAAGTCCCTTCTAAACTGCAAATTACATGAGTGCAAGAATGGTATCTACCTAAGTCACTGCTGGTCTAGATACCTAGCACTGGGCCCAGCACATACTTTAAAAAATATTTGTATACAACTAAATCCTCACTGAATTGAAAATTCTATAGCTGTCTAGACCACTGCTATATCTCAAGGCCCAGCAAATAGGAAATCTTTCACAACTTGTTGAATTGGGGGAGGGCGAGGGGCAGAGAATTCTCCCGCCCACCCCCCAGCAGTGATGCAGTTTAATGTTCCACCAGCAGGTGGCACTTGATCCTTGGCTTTGAGCAGCCCACCAGCCAATACTCAAAGAAAGTGATTGGTTTGGCTAGATGCCACAAGCTGGAATGGACCTGGGTTGAAGAAGTCAGTGGACAAGACTGTCACTCAGCCTCTCCCTAGTGGCCATGAAGTGGCTGAATGGGTGCCAAAGAAACTAGCAGATCTGCAGGAACCAACTGCAAGCTCATATGATGGCTACACCTGTGTGTATAGCAAGTGACTGTGTAAGCCCATACGCTTACATTCCTATGCACATCTACTAGCTTCTCTGTGGTGGCAGTACTCTCTGACCATCACACTTCACTTTAGGAGGTGTGACAGTGCACCTCTCAACTCTTACTCCCATCCCTGCCCACACACATGCACACATGCAAATGTCCACAGTATAATAAAAACCTCCTCTATGTTTAGCCCAAAGTCTATCTCTGGCTGATCATCTCTGGCTCCCAGCTTCCCTACACCAGGGCTGCTGTTCTGTCCTTGGGCCAATGCCAACATGAAAACCTTTGTCCTTAAGGAGTCACCTTCAAGTGACACTTTGGCTGCCTCCCAGCTACCTCCTGACCTGCTGCACAATGAACCCCACCATTCTTCCCCTCTCCTGAGTCCCACAGCTATACTGTGCCATTCTTTTGCACTTTGTATGAAGTTTCTGGTACTGGAAAGTACATTGACCGGCACAGATTTATGTCTACAACTTGATTTGAAGAAATCAAGTTGCTCTCCAAGCAGGAATGATGCTTTGGCCCCTAGTTGCCTGTGCCTTCCCCCTGCTGGGTACACATGCTCTTAGGAAGCACGGATTCACCTGCACAGGTCTGGGAAGGAAAAAAAATGGAGACACAGCAGGTGCTCCATTAATACTTGTTGAGTGATGTTATGTATGAGCCACTGGCAGGGCATGGACTACACTCTGCTTGGTTTAGGCAGGGCTTCCCAAGGGCAGTAAAGGCTCATTCACTCATTCAACAAGTACTAAGGAACCACAGACTATGTGGGGATATTGATCTAAGACACTGGAACTCAGAAACCAAACAAAATCCCTGCTTCTGTAGAACATGTATTCATGTGGGCTAGAAGGCCAGACCCCAAACATCTAAACAGAAATAGCAACGTAATAAACCTATCAGATGGACTTAACTGCCATGGAGAAATACAGAGCAGGGTGACAGAAGAGAGAGGATGAGACCAGAGTGGGCAGAGGCTTCTCTGAGCAGAGAGCTGAAGGCAGCTGAGTGAATCCTGCGGGGGGGG